AAACCCCTCTATCATGAAGTGATTTGCATGATAAGGACGAGGTGCAAAATCAAGTTTAAGGGAGGATGTTGGAAAATAAAATTGTTTTAGAGTTTTATGATATTATTAAGGTGTGTTGGTGGGAAAGGAATCTGCAAGTAGTGGAAAACAATATTATTAGTGGGTGTTAATTAGTGGTTGTAGTGGTATGTGAATGTAATACTAGGAGTAATGGTTTGAACCTATAGAAATAGGATAGATATTCTACTGTTAGAGGTAAGTAGAGTTAAGTAGAAGTTGGAGAGTCCAAGTTAACTGTGTGCTTTTTAATCAACTTGAATGAAATTATTTTTTCTTTGAGTGTTATTCTCTATTTCCTTCCATTTTATTTCTAGTTCTCTTGACTTCAATAAAGTGGTGCCAGACTGATTTTCCAACCTAAGTAGCATTGGAGCAATTCCAACAGCTTTATCCTCTAATACTTGTTTGACTGCTGAAAAAAGCAAGAAAAGGAAAGAAAAGAAAAATGGAAAATTGTAAGTTGCTACCCTTGAGTTGAAGTCACGAAGTTTGCTTCAAGATATGCAGTATGCTTATTTATCGAAGTACTTTAATTCCTGCATGTAAATGTTCATGCACTCAATTCATGTTGTGGGAATTCATTCTAGCATAGCATAGCGAATCTAGTAAGCCAATATTCTGGTTCATTGTAACTATTGGAGCCATCACATTTGTCCCACATTGCCTTGGTGATTTTATCTTATTTACATGTCAGAGTAGATTATACTCATTATTGAGCATTTCAAGGACTAAACATGGCATTCTTATTGTAAATAAGTGGCTAAAAAGTTTTCCCTATGTGGTTTTTTATTAGATTTTACAAAAATTTTCATTTTTTTTCGCCTTTGTGCAAAACAATAGACTGGGTAATTGGATGCTAGCATTTCATTATGATCATCATAAGACAACTTATCTACTTTTACCTTACTTTCACTTGGTAATGTTTTTGGACACCATTTATTTGTTGCAGTCAAATGTTCGGAAAGAACAAAGAAAAACGCCAGATTCATCATGCGTTGTATGCAGAGGAAGCGGAAGAGTTGATTGCCCTTATTGTCGTGGAAAAGGTCTTGCTCTCTCTCTCTCTATCTCTCTCTCTCCATATGCACACCCGCCCACTGGTGCTTGCAGACACTTGTTGGGACTTGAGTGAGATCTATGCAAATCACAAAGACAATGTTTAAGTTAGGGAGAAGCTATTCTTATGCATAGCTGTTACAAATCGGTGAACCATCAAGGCAAAGCACACCTTATAAAGCGAATGTTGTGTTAAAATGAAATCCATTCTGGGTAATTTGCTTCCAGTTAAATTTCCAATAAAATTCAATTATTTTAAGAAGTCACTAGTCGCTATTTCTAATTACGATGTCAGCAGGGTGTTTTTTTTTTTTTTTTAAGGGGGGGGGGGTGCTGGTGCTATGCTAATGAGATTACTTCAACAATTGTTTATTAGTTTTGGCTTTTTCCCAAAGTTGTATTTGTTTGAATCATGATACCATTATCTCCTCCTTCCCCACCTTTTGATTTCCTTAGCTGACTACACAAGTGTGCTTATGTTAGACAAAGTCATCAACAAGTTTAAATGTTTATTAGTCAAAATAAAAGGATTGGTTTATAAGGTATTCAGACAACCACTGCATCTATTAATGTGGATTTCTAGCATGATTTGACATTAAATATTAAAATGTTACTAGGAGTGGCCTCAAACTGTTCGAAGTATATGGAATTCTGAATCTTTTTTGATATTCTGGTTGCTTCCAATACATGGCAAACAGTTATATGCTCCAGCTTTGCCTATGTCAAGTCCAATTTTTCAGTGCCCAATCTGATCTGAAAGAACCAGGCTTGAGGTTTGTCTAATATTTTAGAGTCCAAAAAATAAAAATAAAAATAAAAAGGTGTATTGAATATTCTGTAATGAGTTGGCAATGGCTTAGGTTCACACTTCACAGTCAATGGCACTGTGTTAGGACTTGGGCTCTTGTCATACCTACTCAAACTTCTTGCTTTAGATTATTCCCTGATTTTATATTTGTCTAAGGTTCAAAGTTAGAGACTTACGCTGCGTTTGGTACGCGGTAATGCTTTTCAGTAGGAATGGAATGAGTTTGGGAATGGAATGGAATATGGATTACCATTCCAATGTTTGACAGCTGTTTAGGATTAAGTGCTGGAATGGAATCAACTTTAACCAAAACATACATAATGACTAAAAACAATTAATAACAATTTTTTTTTTATGATTGCGATTGCCTTTAAAAGTTGTGTAAAAAAAATTATAATTAGAAAAAATGAGAATCCATTGAAAAAAATTTAAATAGAATGAAATTTAAACAAAATAATTTTTTTTTACCTATAAAATTTTAACTTAAACATACATTCTTCCTTACAATAAGCATACCTATTAATTTTAAAACTTGACAAACAAAATAAATATGTATAATTCCCACACTCCTATTTTAGTTCGTTGGCAAAAATATCGAGAAAAATATTTTCCCAGGTAAAAATAATTTACTTAGTATAAGGCTAACTTGTATGAAGAAATATTTTTTTAGAAAAAACGATATTTTTTTTCAAAGATAGATTTTTATTTATTAAATCACCTAAACATTCAATGGTACACACAAGATATAAAATCATACCAAAAAAACAAAATACCTAAAAAAAAATCATAAATTTATTCCACTCTAAATTTTAATAAATATAAATTAATATATAAATTAAACTTTCATACATGGAATCAACAGAAATAATTTGATTTACATGAACATCCATAATAATAAAAATAAAACCTATTGTGCCACTAGCTTTGTGAGTTATAGTTATCATCCAATTTGAAAGAATTATATTCGGTCTACGTTCCCAAAAATAATACTGAATCATATGCTAGCCCCAAAAAACAATATTTCTCTGCAATCATACATCTACATTTCTCTCAAAATCATTTAAAACTCCATATTGGCAGTCGTATGCAGCCATCATAAATACCTTGGCTGCACATACCGCTTAAGGAACAATCCCTCCATCTATCACACCGGTGCAAGGGACACAGATTCACAACCACAAAGCCAATGTGCTCTGCTACACACATCCCACCACTGAACAGGTTCAACTTTCTTTCTTTCTTTTTTTTTTTTAACAAAAGAAAATTTTTATTTATTCACAAAAGCTGTAATTACAAGAAGGAAATAAAAGGAAAAAACATAATGTATTCCCAATTACAGCAACAACTAAACAAGAAACAAAATTACCAAAAAAACCAGTTGGGAGCACAATAGCAGAAGCTCCACCTTTTCCTATTCTTCCAGCAAAAATCAGCAGACAGCCTTCCAGACAAGCCTTACATGACACCCTGCTAAACTTCCAGAAGCCATTCAACTCTGCCATAAGCAAAAATCAGACAACCACCATCCCTACACACCCAAATAAAACAGCAACCTTAACCCTTATCATCATACATTAAAATTCTCTGAACACATGTCTTATCTTAAAATTCATACAGCTCAACAAATCCTTAATCTGCCTAAGCAAATTTCGAAGAGGCTAGGCACACTCACATTTTCCCAAAATAGCATTCACCAAGACTAGAGAATCACAATCAACCTCAACCCCATATCCCCACAAACCATAGCTTTTACTGAAGGCCATCAAATAAGGCCCTAAATTCAGCTACCGTATTAGAACAGTCACCATAAAAGTATGCTGCTGCTAAAACCAGTCTCCCCAACTCATTTCTCACTACCTTACCACCTCCTGTAGCACCTGGATTACCTCTTGAAGCACCATCTGAATTCAGCTTCAAATAACCAGCCTCAGGACAAAAAAATGGCAGAAGCTCTGCTTCAATTGATGGCAGAAGCTCAAGTTGAATCATATAGCCTGATGGAGTATAAACTAACAGATGCTCCAATCAACATTTCAAACAAATTGGAGGCCACATCAATAACCACTCATGAAGGCAAAAAGAAGGCCACTTTCTGTCAGGCATTTTGACAAACACCTAGTTGGTATTGTAAAACGTTTCACCAATTATAGGTGTGATTGGTTTCATATGCATAAAGATCTACTGCCATATCTCGAATTAGAAAGTAAAAAATCGATTTGAAATATTGAAGCAAAGTGTTTTTAAGAGATAGATTCACATTTAAAACGACAAAAAAATCCTAAAACCTAAAAATTCTAGGTTGGATTTGAGAATTGCTGATTAAATTTAACAAGTAATTACCTGCATTGGTCGGATTTGAGCTCATATAGGCAGTTCCTGGCCACCTATGCGTACCGTTGCTTCACAGAGAGATGAGGGAGAGGGAGAAAGCCTATGCGTACCCTTGTTTATCGTAGGAGCCTTGTCTCAAGGTGATGTCGGTTCGATCATAAGTAAAACCCAGTTTGATCAGATGTTGAAGCATCGAGATGATGTGGCTTGCCCTGGGAGGGGATGAGAAGAGAGATGGAGTGCCATGGCATTTGTGAGGAAGAAGAGAAGATGTGAGAAAAAGAACAGAGATCAGAGGAGGAGCAGACGATCGCGTTTTTTTTTTGGCAGAATGGCTCATTCTTGAATTGGAATGGAATGGGAAATACTAGGGTAGATTTGGTAATGCCTAATCCCAAAATTTGTGGGATTAACTATTCTTTAGGAATGGGAATGAATTTCAATTCCTGTCAACCAAACATAGGAATCAGCATTACCAAAGAATGCATATTTCATTCCAACCCTTAAACCCATGTACCAAACGCAACGTTAGAATTTCATTAGTTTTGGTTCTTGATTAGATTCGAGTGTTTAACCACATATATGGACTTTAATTCGTTTTTCTTCCACCTTATTGTTGCCCCTTTGGAATTTTATTCTATTTTTTTTTTTAATATTACAGGAAGGACAAATCATGTTGATTTACCAATGCTTCCAAAAGGGGAATGGCCAAAATGGTGAAGTCTCAAAATCTTTTACTTATTATTTTAAGAATCTATTGGTGCTTCCTTAATGTCTCCCATTAACTTTTGCAGGTGCAGGACCTGCGGTGGAAGTGGACTCAGTAATTGCTCTCGTTGTCTTGGCACCGGAGAGTACAGGTATATAATGGGCTTTCATTTTATGAAGATGGATACAAATCACACCCAAGATGATGAAAATTATCGTGTTCATGATGACTCTGGAACTTGTAGTGCAGTAGACATACATCTTAAGGACGAACAGTTTAATTCTAGCCATGAAAGGTGAATATTTCGTGACAGTTTGATTTCAAAATCTTCTACCAAAATGCTCTTGATTTTGTATTGTGAATTGGTATACTTTTGGATGGAGATTCTACTCCATATCCAACACGGATAAAAGCTGGTCCAGTTCTAACCAACATTGGGTGTACTTATTTTTTTCTTTTGACGATGTTGAGCTTCTTGAAGCCCTTTGAATACACCACTGGAAGGGCCAACCACAGGCATCGGGTAAGCCCAAAAGACAACAATGAGAGTTGAACTTAAGACGTCCAAGAATACACTGCACCCCAAAGTTAACTCTACACCGCTTGGTTGCATGTGCAGTTTAACCCAACCCAGTATACTTTTTTATTACCTTGAAGTTAAACCTTACTCCATTAAGAATCCAACCATATTTTTGGGGTTACCGCCAGTGAGAAGCGGATGCAGTTATTCACAGGGTGGCATCTAATTTAATGAACTTCGATATTTAACGATTTCTCTTCTCTTTTTTTTTTCATCTTAAGGCAAGATGACGATGGGAAAATAACCAAATTCAACTTGCCGAATTACATGATAAATGTAGGTGTTGAATCTTGTGCCACAGCAACAAATACAAGAGATACAGCGGCAGCAAGAGCAGATTCAAGGACACCATAACTACCAGGAAAGAGACTTTGGTCCATGGCTTCTTGTGCAACACAAGAAATCTTAAAGTGAGATTATGACGTGGGAAAACCAGTCACTATGCCCAATTTTAAGCCACCAAATCATAACTCGGTTTAGGAATTGGAGGAAAAAAGCTGAAGAAACCTTTCCATTTGCAAATGCAGAAAGTCTGTCGGTCCTCAAGGAACAAGACATCGAAACAACTTTGGAGAACATAGACAAGCAGTAGGCATATCTCCCTACATCAGAGTTGAGGAAAGCTATGCTTGAAGATCAATCACCATCATGGCATTGTGAGCGAGCGACCAACAAACAGATTTGCAGTGCTACAGAAGGACACTAATTCTAAATTGTGCGTTGGTTTCCAAAGCCAAATAAAATCAGTACACAGCAGCATAGAAGACAAAAGGGAAGAAGCTAATGAAGGAAATGGAGAGGCCAGCCAGTGAGTCTGAAGTAACAACTGGTACTACAGAGAGGCGGCCAGAAATAAGATAGTCTTGATCAATTTGAAAGAACATTCCAAACGAAATAACAGAAATTTTTCAAAGTCACTTTGCTTCTAAATACATTCCAAACGATTTGGTGGTCAAATTGGTTAGACTCAGGAAGCTCTCTCTAGAGCCAAGTAAGTTGTAAGTAAGTTTAAAATCTGCCTTTCCACTAGAAAGTTGACTACACATCACGTCACTTTTAACTTGGCAAAGGAAGGCCAACTACGAACTATCTGTAAAAATCGCCATTAAATGACTTTTAATCTTTTTCACAAACTAGGTAAAGAACTATTTTGTATGGCCTCTGAGCAGATAGAGAGTTTAGATGATTGATTATATCTTTTGTACTTTCTTTTCCTTAATCTCTATTTATAGTTAACAAAAAAAGAAGAAGTTAATATCTAGATTTAACTGTGTACTCTTTAGTAACTCAATTTCACTTACAACAACACTGCTTTTTGTTTATGCTTCATGGATATGATTGCAGGCCACTTGATATAACAGGTTACTTGGTATCCAAAGACAAAATACAGTCAAGAATTTGTATCCATGAGAGGTTTGATAAAGGTTTTACTCTTGTTGTCAGGTTATATATCCCTCTTCTATTTGTGCTTAGGATCGACTCTTTTAAACGATATGATAGTAAGTGAATGAACATATTTATTTATGTTAAGTAAATGAAAAATATTGATATTAATCTACATTCATCCGGTGTTACACTCGCCAATAGACAAACATGTGATCTCAAAGGTAGAAAAAGAGTATCACTTATTTCTCCCCAATGTAGTTGGAGACTTTTAAGACCAAGGAGAAGCCGCTTATTATTCAATTCCCCAAGTCAAAATGCCTAATTTTTTGATATCAAAAGTTTTTATAGGTTCGAAACAAACAAGTGCAATTTTATTTTTTATTTTTCGCCATTTGGTTGTTGAAAAATGACCCGTAACAGTGGCACTAGCCAAGCTTGCAGGGGCAAAGAGTAGGTGTTACATGCAAATACAAGCTGTTCATGCCTAGCTTGTATTTGTTTGACAAAATCAATACCAAAAGATGTCATCAACACCAAATGCCTCACCCTTTTCATTCTTGATTTCATAGTGGATTTTAAGCATGTCATATAAAATTAACTTTAGTATCTTTCAATATCTCATTTCTCCCTCTTCGATCAATCACACTTATCTCTTTTGATCAATCACATTTATCAGCAAACACAAGTCAATTGAATGTAAACAACAGAACATAAAACAAGAGTGGCTTCAAGAAGATTTTGTTGTGGCACCAATGTTATATACCCTGTGCATAGATAAAACTTTCACAAAGTAAGGAGTATTATTGGGCCAAAAACTCATTGATACTTCAAACGAAGCTTTACAACAAGATAAGTGAGTCAAAAGAACAAATAAGACATGACAAGAAAATATCACAACCTTTACATTAATTAATCACGAGATCTCAATAATTAAAAAGGACATACATGGTCGGATTCCTTTCTATTTTTCTTTTTCTCTCCCGGGGATCAATGAGTATTGAGATTAACTTATATTTCTTCAGTTTTATCATTTAAACTAGGTTATGTTTGAAATCTTTTCTAACAATGATTTGGGACGTGTTTAGAGTTTCTTCGTGAAACTTTTGACTTTTCAAAAATAAAATTAACTGACATATCTAAAAAAAAAAAAAAAACTTGCTTGGGTCTCATGCCCTAAAGCTTTTGCCTGATCTGGATGAATATTCACACTAGATCATTATCATTTAGTTTAGCGCACCTACAAGTTGAAAACGTATCTCATACCTACAAGTTGAATGCCTACATAATAAATTGAAAAATTTGGAGGCCGGTCCCCTTTGTAGACTTATTTGAAAATAAGTCCATCAAGAAAGATTTGTTCAATATTAAGTCCATTTTAAGCTTTATTGTCCAAAATACCCCTAGTAGTTATGTTTAATTACAAAAATTTTGAAAACTAACAACTCCTAAATTTTAGGAGTTGGACTAATATTAAAATTCTCTCTCATATCTATGTCCATATATAGAATATGACTATTTATTTCTCTCTCTCATATATATATAGGCACACACACACACACATAGAAACATTAAAAAAATAGTAAAATTATACAAAAAAAATAGTATAATTCAAACACAAAAAATAGTATCATTTAAACACAAAAAAAGTAATAACATTGAAACACAAAAAAATAATAATATTCAAAACAAAAAAAATAATAATATTGAGTATTAATATTTGAAAAAATAACAGTAGTAACATGCTAAAAAAAAAGTAACATGAATAGTAACATGCTCACAAAAACAGTAACATAAACAGTAATATGATACAAATTTATATATATATATATATATATATATATATATATATATATATATATATATATAAGTTGCCTGAGTTCTTTTACTTCAGGTTTGAGTAAGAAATTAAAATTAACCTGTTGATTGAAAGGTCGGGTGACTAAGCCTTCATTAGTTATCTGAAACGGGGTCAGAAGATAAATAAAGGGTAATCCTAAAATCACTTCATCAGTCATATCTTTTACTAAGACAAATGAGGTTTTAAAACAAACATTGTCATGGCAGATATGAGTTTTAGGTAATTTATATTTGACATCCATGTTTGTACCATTAGCTGATTTTAATTTTTGAATGGTTTTTTCATAGTACTTGGTTGGGATAAGTCCTTCTTGCATGCAGTTTACATCTGCACCTGTATCAATAAGGGCTACTGTATTAATAATAAAATCATTTGCTATAATGATTTTGATTTGGAAATACCATTTTTGTAATTTAATTTCTTTGATAGAGTTAATTTGATTTTCTGTTTGTAGACACCCATCGTGAGATGGCAGCTTCGTTAAACCAGAGTTTTCCACATTGAAGGTGGAGGCTATGGGTATTCGCTGGGAAAGTGTCTTAGTTGAATTATCAGTTTTATCACTGTCAGATTGGTAATTATCTTGAGGTTCTTGCTCAAGAGTGTCGGATAAAAGACTTAATTTTTCTGCCAAGAGTTTGTCTTGTGCCTTTAAATCTTTTATTTCAACTTTTAATTTATTAATTTCACTATAAAGATCTTGTAAGGTTAATTCTTTTTTCTTTTCCTTACTAAATCTTTCCATAGTTTTGTTAATACTAATTAAAGGTTTTTCTATTATAAGATGTTTGTTTTTTTCTGTTTTGACAAACAGATCCTTAAGATTTTTTATATATTTAGATTTTAATTGCGGTTCTTCAATTTTACTGATTAAGTCAATTAAAATTTGTTCTTCAGTTTGTTCTGTGATTACTCTTATTTTTTTACAACAATTGTCATTACATCCTAATTTAATATCAGGTTCGCTTGTCGTAGAAGGTGTAGAAGAGTCAAGGGAATTATCAGGATTGTCTGAGTTATCAGAATTGTCTGAGTCTGAGTCTTCCGGATTATGAAGTCTGAAGATTTTTAGGATTTCTTCAGTCTCTTCATTGGTTAGATTAAGTTTTTTAACCTCTTTTTTAATTGGGCAATCGGGACTTTTGTGACCCTTTTTCCCACAGTTATAACATGTTATAGTGTCTTTATTGGTGTTTAACCATTTAGACATTTTCCCTGTTTTCTTAGGTTTTGGTCTAATAGTCTTTTTGGATTTTTTATAAAATTGAGGTTTAGTGAGTAAATCTTTATTATTCTTATAATAAGATTTATGTTTTGAATATGACTTATGCTTTTTATGGGATTTGTGCTTAAGTTTTTTAGAGGTTGATGGTGCTACTGGAGGGAGACCATATTGTTCACAAAAATTCCCCATTTCATATTTGGCTTTCTTTTTATCGTTTTGTAATTGTTTACTGATCTTGAGATCAATACAC